GACAGGCTGGTCTCCAACTCCTGACCTCAGGTGATCCGCCCACCTCGGCCTCCAGAAGTGCTGGGATTACCGAGCCCGGCCAAACCCCAAATTCTTTTCTTCCCCCTCCCCTCAAGACGGAGTCTCAGTCTGTTGCTCAGGCTGGAGTGCAGTGGCAATGTCTCATCTGACCGCAACCTCCGCCTCCCAGGTTCAAGCGATTCTCCTGCCTCAGCCTCCCAAGTAGCTGGGATTACAGTCTCCTGCCACCACGCCCGGCTAAGTTTTGTATTTTTAGTAGCGATGGGGTTTCACCATGTTGAGCAGGCTGGTCTTGAACTCCTAACCCTAAGTAATCCACCTCGGCCCACCCTCGGCCTCCGAAAGTGCTGGCATTACAGGCGTAAGCCAGCGCTCCCGGCCCCAAAGGCCGAATTCTAAGTATGGGTGAGCCAAATCACCCCCTCCCCTTGCAGAGGAGCGACTCGTGTCTCGGACTAGACTTAACCCAATGGAGTTCGAGGAAAAGGGAAAGTCCCGCCTCCGTAGCAGCTTCGGCCCAATGGGAGCCTCCCCATACGTGCTGCTTGGAGCAGGGCAGGACTTCGCCCGGTGGGAGCTGGGCCTGTGATGTCTGCGGGACTGGTTGCCCGGGAGCTGCAGCTGAGCGAGAAGCACTACCCCCGGTGGCCCGCCCTCTTGCACGCCCTCGTCCTACTGCTGTGCTTGCTGGAAACGGCTCGTTCCGGAAGTCAGGCCAGTGAGTGCAGGGCTTTGCTCCGCCCTCTATAGCTGCTAAGTGTGCTCCTCCCCCACGACGCCTGACCCCCGAACCCCCCACCCCGCCTTTCAGAGAGAGTCCTTCCCTCGAGGGAAACTGAGGCCGAGTGCCACCACCACCACCACCACTGTAGGCCTGACGATGCCTCACGCGGCTGCTGAGTCTTATGGGGACTTAATTATGTAGCACCTCTCCCCTTCCTCTCACCCGTAACTTTCCCCAGACTGTGGCCTTTATCAGGCCCCTTGGGAGGTCTGGGGCGATGGAGGTTGTGAGATGAGGTCAGGAGTAGGGGGTAGGGCTTCCTCTGAAACTGGTTCCCTCTGTCAAGCAATTCTCCCATGTCTCCCACTTCAGCTTAAACTTGGCCGGTAATCCCAGGACTTTGGGAGGCCAAGGTGGGTGGACTGCTTGAGCTCAGGAGTTTGAGACCAGCCTGGGCAACATGGTGAAAACCCGTCAATACAGAAAATACAAAAAAAATTAGCCAGGCTTGGTGGTGCATGCATGTAGTCCCAGTTACTCTGGAGACTGAGGTGGGAGGATCGATTGAGCCCGTGAGGCAGAGGTTGCAGTGGCCTCATGATTATACCACTGCCCTCCAACGTGGGTGACAGAGTGAGACCCTGTCTCAAAGAAAAAAAAAAAACAAGAAGCCGGGCGTGGTGGCTCACACCTGTAATCCCAGCACTTTGGGAGGCCTAGGCGGTGGGATCACCTGAGGTTGGGAGTTCAAGATCATCCTGACCAAGATGGAGAAACCCTGTCTCTACTAAAAATACAAAATTAGCCAGGTGTGGTGGCGCATGCCTCTAATCCCAGCTACTTGGGAAGCTGAGGTAGGAGAATCGCTTGAATCCCAGAGGCTGAGGTTACAGTCAGCCAAGATCATGGCATTGTACTCCAGCCTGGGCAACAAGAGAACAAGAGTGAAACTG